AGTTTGTAGCGGGTAAATCTGAGATGTAAACGATATAATTTTTTTAAACTTTTCGAATACAGACTTTGTACTAAGTCTAATATATCGTTTAGTTATTACTTATATATTTTGACTAGCTATTCCCGCGACTTCGTCCGCGTGGAATTTAACTTTATTTTTCTAAAATAAAAGTAGTCTACAGAATTAAAAATTATTAATTTCGTCTTAATTTATTAGTTCCATTAGGTACTGATAGGTTCAAACTAATACATTTACATCCTGCATCATTCCTTATTTTATCCCCATGGGGGTTGAATTTATCAAAATCCTATTTAAGCGGACGTCTTTATCATAGTAGCTCCAATCTTTAATTTCAGTTCAATCATTCGAAAATCTAAGAAGATTTATACAAACTTTCATCCCCTATTTTATCCCCTTAAGGGTGGAATTTATCAAAATTCTTAGGGGATGCCTACGTCATATAAGCTTTATGCATGCAAAGTCTCAGCCCGATTGGTTTAAAATTGACAAAGTTTCATACAATCTTTCATCCCCTATTTTATCCCTTTGGGGGTAGAATTAATCAAAATCCTATCTTAGCAGATGCCTACGTCATAACATCTACCTGCATGCCAAATTTCAGCCCGATTCGTCCAGTGGTTTGGGCTGTGCGTTGATAGATCACTATGTCAGTCAGTCACCTTTGAGTTATATATTTAGAAGAGCTATAAACTATAAATAATATAATGTTTTCTATTTACTAATGTAATGTTATACGTGTATATTCTAGCTATCAGATACAGCTTAAATAATTTGATATTTCCTGTGGTATAAGGTTCACTTACAATTTTAGTATTTTAACTATTCTTATAGTTTCACCAATAAAATGCTATACGGATGCGAAGTCGTGGGCTGGGCTGGTATGTAAGAATTCTGTCAATGTTCTCGTCAATTTCAAATACGGCCGGCAGTGGGACAAACAATCTATATGCATGGGGCAAATATTTGCGAGGCCCCGCCGACCCCGGCGAGATCACAGGCTATCATTGGCCCGTAATTTGGTCCGATGGAAATCGCCTATCCGATGATATAGCCTCCACTATCCAATTCAATACCTATTCCACAATCACGATAGTAAATCCAAATAGAGTTGCGTTTATTTGGTTTATGGATTTGACTATTATTGTGAGTGCAGTATCAAAAAGCCAAATATGTTAATGATGGTTTTAATTTGATTTTAAGAATCTATATATTATATTTACGATCCTACTTTAAATAATTATAAGGACAATAACGATCCGCTGTTTCATAAACAAACACCTGTTGACACACAATAGTGGCTACAGACAGTCCTCTTTGTCGGGGCTGCTTTGAAGCTGAAGAAGCGGTCACTCGGTAATCCTGGAGTGCGCAGCAGTGGCCACACAACGCACACAAATCCTCGGAACGGTAAGGTCGCTCTGTGAAGCTTCTGAAGACAGGAAGAGATTCTGCCCTTCTGGGAGGAGCTCGGCTGGCTCTACACGTATAACGGCTCAAATAGGAGGCTTAATGCGGAAAACAGAGTTCAACATACAACAATACAACTCAGTTAACCCATCGTTATCCATATCTAAAAAGGGCGAATATAATGGATTTATGCAGTCGCATTAGCATCGAATAATAGCCCAAACTCTTCAATAAAATAATAATAATAGGAGTTTACGTAAAAGAAATTCTGAAATTACTTATATTCTATCATTACAAGCGAGGCTTTCATACTACATAAGGCCTGTAAAGATATATTGTTCCCATCGCTAACCCCAAAGAATTGTACAGCAACTGAAGCACCCTTACCTATACAGCGCTCGATAGATCACGACCCTCGATATCACTTAATATAATTCACGGAACCCCGCATTCTTTGAGAGGACGTCGATTACAGAGAGCGCCTTGGGGGACCATAATCGAGGGCTCCCTGCGTTTTTGCACGATGCCTCTCGCTGAGAAATTGTAATTGCTAATCCTGATTTAAGTTGCACAGTTACAGAGTCCAGCTGGGTGATTTGCTATCGATAGCTTACATATAATTGCTTTTTTTAACTGAAATTTACGGTCAGCAACGCGCACATGACCTCCTTAGTGTTTCAGGCGACCATAGGCTACGACAACTGTTTACCATCAGATGCGCCGATGATTGATTGCTATTTTAGTATAAGAAAAATCTAATTGCCAATCGTCGTATATATGAATATCAAGGCTCTAGCATGCATAAATGAAATAATTATATGATCTCGTGAGTTCAAACTTCAAACCGCCTCACTGTGTCCACTACACAGCTTGATAAGATTTGTGTTTACATAACATCGACAGTGGACAATATCCCAGAAGGGAAGTCAGTAACTACCCTTCTGGAATAACAGCGTTGTTTTTGTTTGTACCTTCACGACTGTATAGTCTAATACAATAGAGACTTTGTCAAATGGCGCTGCCTGCGTGAATTCAAGTAAAAATATCCCTTGTTAATCTTCGATATCGTTCTGCAGATTGCATTTAAATTCGTCCGGCCATTTTAAAGCGATTGAACAACAAATATCCACACATTAAACAAAGTTTCATAATTGTTATTTCAAGTTTACAGGGATTTTTGTTAAATTTCAAAAGTATAACCACAGTTACACACATTACATAGTATAACAGTCTGTTCTGAAGAAGAAATAAAGATAAAATTTATATACTGTAAATTTACGAGTATATTATCTTATTTTAATTAAAAAAGTCTCCATTTAGTTAAGTTGTTGTAATCGTGAACAAATAACATATTTTAATTAAATTTCCTATGTTCTTCTAAGCAAAATCCAATATATTTCTATCAATAATTCGACCAACTTGCTAACAAATTGTGGAAAAGTTGCCGGAAGTTTGGCCCCGGGAAACGAGCCCTAATGGCGGCCTCGCCACTTCCGGTTATTGGTAATGTTGGATAATGGACCTATCCAATATCGTATTCATTAGATTAAATCCTATTCGCTTTATTTAACGAAAATTAAGTAAGTGACTTCAATCTAAGTTAAGAGTAAGATTTTTAGTAACACGTATTAAATTAACAGGATACCGTCATGGATTAGTGATTTTACTTTATTTATTAGGAATGGGTTCGCACTTCGTTTTACCTAATCTGATGGGTAATAATGGCGAGACCTAGTATGTAGTGTGTTTACTCAAAAGTAATCGTCATAGACTTGAAGTATCCGGGAACACGCTGGAAGTGTGTTCCACTCTTTGGCAGTGCGTAGGCATTAAAAATTACAATGCGAGACGCTTGGTGTAAACGCTTTCCACGTAAGGGTGAAGTCTTAGTGTAAAAATCCTGAGTTCAAATCTAGCAGAACAAGTACTAACAACACAGACAATCTGTGATAAATATGCTGTGGTCCATTAATTCGGGTACTCGAATTAATGGACCACTACATTGAACAAAGTAGATATTGTAAAAAGTCATCTGCGTGGGGATTCGAGAATAGGTGGGTTATTTCAGCCGCCAAGCAGCTTGCTATGTAAGCTGTGTTTCGGTTGAAGGGTTGTATATAGTACGAAATTTAATGTATATGATTAAGCCAATTTATCTGAGGTATACTATTTTTTTATTAATAATTAAAATAGAAAATGCTGTTAATTTTCTTATTATGTTATTATATAATTAGAAGGTTAACCCCAGGAAGGAGAGGGAGGGGAAGGCCCGAATACCACTGGCAACTACATAAATGACTTTATAATTAAAACCAAAAGAACGGATTTAAAAAAAGAACTTCTTTCAGATATTGTAAAAAGAAACTTCGTAGAAACTAAACAATAAGGTGTCATTGTTCGAGTTAATACCCTTTTACCAAGATCTCGATATTTCATGAACCTCCAACTTCTCAAAGTATCGTTGGGTCTCAGTAACTTGGAACAATTAACTTTAAATCTCTTACAGATAAAAGCGATCGGCCAATCGCTTCTAAATTTTTGCCGGGCACAAAGGCAGGACGAGCGGAGAGTAATTCCGTAAGCTTTGAATCAATTGTTAGGTCACTGACCTCGTGGTTTAGCACGTCGCTTTACTTTTGATGGTTGGGGGTTCGATTCCTGAGTACTATTAGGTATTTTCCAAGTATATTACAGATGTATTTATAAAAAATATATTTCAGTATTTTTATCTGTATCCATATTGAGTAGTACTTATATCATAAGCTTGTGGTTAGATGGGGATGTGTGAATTGTCCAGAGTTATTGTTATTACGTTTTAAGAAAACTAACGGTTACTTCGTCAGCTTGGTTTAACTATGTAATCTGTGGTTTAACCGACTTCAAAAAACAAGGAGGTTCTATGTTCCATCACTATGTATGTATATCGACCCTGTCGTGAATTCTAGACAGATATTTTTTTTTGTTAAGCAAGGTATTCTCATAGTTGATCCTAATACTAATTTTATTAAATTTAATACTCATTTTACATTGTTGACACACGGACCTATCCCTAAATTATCTTAGACAATTTTCAGCAGACCATAACGTCCCCCATCCCCATTCACAGTTTGTTACATTCTTTATTTCAAGTTTAATCTTATTTTTTTTATTATGAATGGGTTTGCGGTTGGTCTTACCTCATCTGATGGTAAATGATAGTAAGACCTAGGATATAGCGCGCTTACCCAGAACAAATCTATTCACCACAGACTTGAAGAATCCGGGGTTGTATTTCTCCGGGAACACAAAAGCTGGAAGTGTGTTCCACGCTTTGGCAGTGCGTATTATAAAGGACGACACACGAATATGTGGATTTTATACGACGTACGGTACGGTAAATGTGACGTCACAAAATCTAAAACGGGGGCTTTTCGATACTACAGTAGAAGAGGAGAGATTTTAACTGGTCATAGATTTTTGACACGAGCTTTGTGACTATTTTAAGTCCTTATTATATATATCACATATTGATGATACCTTAATCTGTTACATAACGTATGGGTGGCCCTTTATTTATGTAACTTATGACTTACCTGATTTACACTTATTTGCCGCTAGTGGACAAGCACACCGACCATCGCAGTCGCAGTCACAGTTCTCTACTGCTGCCGTCCACGGTGGCGAAACTGTCGCACCTGGCACCTGGTAATATTATACATATTTTAATTTGTTATGTTTAAACATAGTCAAAATATTTAAGATAGATCGCCATTAGAGAAGTTCGTAACGGTAGTCAAATTTCCGCACTGAATATTTGTAATCTCACACATGCTTATTTTAACGGAATTAAACAAAATAATTTAAATCCATTAAGAAATGAAATGGACTAACCAAACCTAATTCGATAAAATATATAGTCAAAAATATCAACTTTAGAGAAGACCTAAAATATGATTATTAATATATAATATTATCAAATACAAGAATAATAGTGTCACGTTAAAAAGTAGAGCTAAGGTTATTCGTAGAACTAAAACAAACTTATGAAATGATTAAGAGATAGCGTCAGAACTTGGCTCTACAGAAACTTTGCTCCAACTATCAAGAGAATAAAACTGTCAAGTTACTTTGCTCGGAGTAATCTGAGACAGATCGACCTCATTACTATATTTCATTATAGAGGCAGACAATTTGTCACATATCAGGAAATGTTGTCTTATTATTACTTTGTTTGTGCAGAGTTGGCACACAATTTCCCGTGTCGTATAAAAGAAAGCTTAGAACTTGTTTATGAAATCAAAACGAAAGAATAAATTGACAGATGGGATCAATCGAATACTGATATTATATAAGAGGGAAAGAAGATTGAAATAACAAGGAGTAGAAAGAGACAAAGGGAATATATGACAAAGGGGAATATACTGTAAATGCACGTAGAAATAACGTCTGATTTTCTAAGAGACGATAAGGAGATTAGTAGTATATAATAAGGGTAAAATAATTTAAGTTAATGATGTAATATTAATAAAAAAAGTGTACTAGATTGTAAGACATAACAATAATGGTAAAGGAAATAAAAATGATAGATGAGAATTATACATAGCAGTAAGCAGAAATATGTCTTCTATTCATGTCATAATTTTTTTTTAAAGCATTGCTATAATTCAGAGAAGATTCTTGTTATATAGATGCACTATCGAAATTATTTCGTACCGGTATCTTAAAATATATACTTGATGTTTATAAACTTCGTCCATATCTATGATTATTTTTATTTGTTGATCACTCGAAACAATTTTGTAATTCAACATTTTTGATCTTTTTCGATTCATCTATATATCATAAATCTTCTCTGGATTATAGCAAAGTGGAAAGACATTTTAGTAAAGACTAGTGTCATCAATTAACAATGTCAGTTCTGTAACTTGACTATCGTAAACTTTGAAAAGAGCAAACTTTGACTTTCTCCTATGTTCTTCTCAGCTCAAACTACTTTCAGTGATAGTTAGTACATTATGAAGACTTAAAATGTCTCGTAGATAAATTCTTTTATGTAAAATGCTTTTTAAAATATTTTCTCCCTTATGTAAATTTTAATTGAAAGTGTAGCTAATATTGTCTGTATCTGTACTTACTTTTTGTTCTAAACTGGGTCCTAACGTCGTCACCTTCAGTTCATTCGCTTCCAGCAAAACATTTCTCTTATCGTCAGCAATTATATTGAGATCTATATTACTGACTCCATCTTCTCTGAGGCTTTTCAAACCATCTGCTTCTTTATACCTCTCGCCGGTGTTTGTATAATTCTCCTTTTTTGATGGCAGTGTGGTTGTAAGTCTTTGTTTTATATCGATATGTTTATCACTTACATTAGCCTTAATACTATTGGACGGGGCTATTTCTAATTCAGCAGAGAACGATACGTCTTTCTGATAGAGAACATCTTCTTCTATATCTGTTATGTCGGTCGGTCTAGTTGCATTCAGTTCTGTTGACAATGATACAACCATTATGTTTTTTTCATATTTTTTTTTTAATAATTTTGGTACTGTAGTAAACTACTGTACCAAAATTATTAAAAAAAATATTAAAATATTATATGTAATAATGTAATTGCCATTTTGTTGTTCAAGTATACAGACGATGGTTATCGCTTACCATCAGGGCCGTCAGCTTGCTTGCCATTTATATTGCAGAAAAATTTAATAAATGTACATACCAAGACACCCGTATCCGTCCACGTGTAATACATATCCGGGCCCGCAGCCGCACTCGTACGTGCCGTCATGTAGTTCGCGACAGAGTTGCTCGCATGGGCTGCCTTCACCGCACCTTCCTGTAACAACAGATGTTCTATTGTTATAATGAAAAATTAATAAGTATATATTTTATGGAGTATAATGGAATGGTACACCCGCCTGCGCTAACGATTCACACTGGCGGGGCAGCAGTGGAGGATAAACATGAGGTCAGGTACGTCAGCCCATCTTGTGGTAAATACATCAGTAACTTATCATGATGGTTTCCTAAAGGAACATCGTGGAGGTCAACTTGGTATGGTACATTGTTATCAGTGAGGTTACTAGTGTTAATGGTTACTAAATTTTAATTATTTTATTGCGTGGTCTTTTTATTAGGTACCTATATTAATTTCTGTTGGTGCATGAAATAACTTAATATAAGATGAAAGACTTTCTCTTCAAATTCTTTTGTAATCAAGTATAAATAACTATTTTATTCCTCCTATATAAAGCAACCTTACAAAACCGAAATGTATAGGAAATTACCAGGATAAACTAAAAAATATCCACAGCTATTCAGAAGGCAAAAAATAGTGAAAAATCCAATACTGCTATATTATAACGTGTCAGAAAATAAATGTCTATACTCAATAATTCACGTCGCAAACCTCAGGGAAAAAGATTTAGGTAAATATTCGATAAAAAACCGGACGGAAACTCGACCTAAAATTGTATAAAAAATGGGCCAGAAGTGCCCACGTAAATTACGGCGCCATATTTGGTAGACCTGGCGACAAAGTGGATAGATTTTTAGATATATCATCTCGTTTTAGAGGTCTCAACTAAAACCTCTAAAACTCAAACCTCTAAATTGATATGAGAATGAGAAAGTCATACTCTTTTTTCCTTTTTCTCTCTCTGTAATTAAAAAGTATGTTCAGGCAAATTAAATCTACAGACTGATGTGTGATGACTAGAAATGTAATCAAATATATTTAAAGTATATATAATATAAAATATAAAACTTATATAGTTACAGTTGAATTATATACTAATACTAGCTGAGGCCGTATAATATTTTTGTAGTATAACGATTGAAATAAAACAAAGTTTTAAGTGAAGCTTGTGTGGTGGCCACAATTTCGTAGCGGTTTACATTATTGGGTTATGATATTTCTGAGAAGAACGCGAAAACAGACGAATAGATCAACAGGCCAATAGGCAATAGTTTTTCTCATATATCTTCCATGTATAGACATTTTTTTCCCACATTTGTTCATCTTCTGTTCAATGATGGAACGGGCAAAGAACCTTAGACCATACAGCCCAGTCTACTTTTAAATTTCATAATATTTTTACAGGTAATGACGCCAAAGGCCAGTTCTTATGTATAATTATTTATTACAATCTCATTATTGCTTTCATTAGTGTTCCAAGTTATTTAAGTCTTGTCGACATCCTGGCATGAACTATTTAAAGTTCTCGATATAGAGGTAACGTATAAATATAAATAATATAAATATATATTATTTATATACATATACATTACATTATAAATATAAATATACCATGTATAAACAGTAATCAATTACATGTATTTTTATCATATGTATAGATTCCAGTACAGTGTACTACAATGCTACGAGAAACTGTTTGCTACGGTCGTAGAACCGTAGCGTTAGCTACGACATCAATGAAAATAGCTCTATCGCTCTACAAACTTGTGCACAATCTCTATGTGCAATAATCTCTATGTGCACAATGCACATAGAATACAATAAGAAAATCAGTAAATAAAAAATAAGGCGGTTTATCCCTATAAGCAATTTCTTACAGACAACCTGCTAACAAGCAATAGGACTAACGTACATAGAAGAGGCAGATGGCACACACAAGACATTATAATTATATATAAATTGACATGTTACATTTAGACTAAAATTCTACAAACACGAACTTGTACGAACACAGTATATTTCCACACATATATATATATTTATTGACGGCCTGGATGGGCTATTAGTTTAGCACGCCGACTTACTTTCGCGGGTTTTATTCCTAGCTCAGTGCGAACATTTTTGTTTCATGAGTATCACTGTTTGTATCGGTCTAGGTATTTTCTATAATGTTATGTATATATTTACAAAAAAAATCTCAGTAATTATAGCAGTTGTCTAGCTAGTACTCATAACACAAGCTCTGCTTACCGTAGGACTATATGGCGGTATGTTAATTATCCAGGTTGATTATAGTATACAAATTATTAATTATTTGTACACTTTTAAATTAATGATTTATCGTCGACTTTTGGGACAGCCTGTATATTGAAATTAGGTAAGGTCGCTATGTAACAGTAAGTTGAATTAAACATTTTACATGTTATTTTTACAACGTGAAATAACAGATAAATATATTTAAAACAATCTGCACTACACACAAACAAAGCTGCAGGTTTTCCTAGTACTCATTACTTATGTATTACATAAATATTGTTTTTACAGCACCGTGTAAAGGTGCTTATTCACTGGAGCTCACCGTTTCATCGAGCGCGTTGATTTCATTACAAAGCAACGGAGCGGCGCAAGTGTAAAACTGTCCGCGAATTATGTTTTAATATATATATTTTTTTAATAGTGATATTATTTCACTATGTAATGGAAAACTTATACATTTTTATTGCACTGATAATATACAGTAATAAAATAATTTAGAGACAATGCGAGTCAAGATGGACTTATACCTAGACGAGATTTCTTCCAGTCAACCCACAACAGTGGTATAGTGGCTTGAGTGAGTTATAATTAGTGCAGAAATAAGTATAAAAAATAATCAAAATTAAAAAACATAAGTACTACAATACAGAAACAAACTACTGTACAAATATATATGTATATGAATATACATAAATAATCCATTATAATAAACGAATCTCTGTTTGCCCTATTGTTGACTGGCAATGCCTCAAGGTATAAAGTCCGCTATGTTTACCTTCATTTACGTATTTGTGAATGAAAGTGACTAAATAAATAAATAATAATGAAAATTTCTCATGATACTACACTAAGGGGTTTTTTAATAATTATATAATATAATGAAATAATATTAAAGTTTCTTAAGGGTCGAGAACGACAGATAGTATTTCAAGTTTTTTGACGACCTCGGTGGTCTAGCGGTCTAGCACACCGCCTTACGACCGATGGTCGCGGGTTCGATTCCTCGCACGGCACAAACATTTGTATTCATGAGTATGATTGCTTGTATCGGTCTGGGTGTTTTCTATGTATAATATGTATGTATTTACAAAAAAAAACTATGTATATGTATCAGTTATCTAGTACCCATAACACAAGTTTTAACTAGCTTAACTTGGGTCTAGATGGAATTGTCCTGAGATTATTATTATTATTATTTTAAAGGAATCAATTCAAACCAAAACATCTACATTTTGAGGAATTATCTAAAAAAGCTTATAAATCGGACCAAACCACATCACAACGTGTGAACATTCGATTTAATATATACTGGCTTTGATCCCTTTGCACTCGGCTGCCTTCATATATTGATCACGGGTCCCTAAATAAAACAACGTACAGTACTGGCGTACAACAATAAATAACTTCGCTAACACACCAAGGAAATTCGAGTCTTCACTTTTGGCGAGCGCGAAATATGTGTAGCGTTCGGGAAGTTGAGAAATTTCGACGTTCAAGTGAAATTTCTATATACATGTATTGAGATTATTTAGTCACGATATTTTTTTAATTTTTCTAGCTCAGACACAGACAGGAGTTTGCCTTCAGCCGCTCCGTAAGTTTTTCCGCGAGTTAGAGTGCCTTTTGCACTCGCTATCGTTCGGTGAGGTTGCAAAGGCTAACTGCAGTGGACAACATTTGAATAGTAAATAAAAACTGATAAATATGAATTGGTTTACTTTTCCATCTCAATAATAGCCATATCCATCCTTGTAATACAATCTTTATGTCTAACTTGCATTAAAAGTTCGCTCAGCTGTTTAGCAAACCAAAGAGAAATTATATTTCTTCTTATAGAATGTTTATATTCGACAAATAATTGATTAAACGAAAACATAAAATTGCATGTAGATAATACGAACATCAAAATTAATGATAAATATGACATACTAGATGTGCCCGCGACTTCGTCCGCGTAAATTGTCGATATTTCCATATAACCTTTGATCTACCTTTTCAACCCCTTACAACTCTTTTTCGGATTAAAAAGTAGCCTATGTCCTTTCTCATATTCTAGACTATATTTATACCAAATTTCATTTAAATCGGTTCAGTAGTTTTGGCGTAAAAGTGAGACAGACAGAAGAGTTACTTTCGCATTCATAATATTAGCAAGGATTTCATCTATATCAGTCATAAAAAAACTATAGAGCGCCATCTATTAGAAAAAAAAACAACTGAATATAGTATATCTATATTCAGTTGTTGTAACAAAGATCTCTTCCAACATTGGGTGGGCACATCTAATGTAGCTGACAATGACTAATTGTATACAATATAATATGCAGGAGCCGCCGAAATGAAGACTAAACACTAGGCGTGTCCCCAGTGTCAGCGGTTAAAAGTATTACAACGTTTTTGATTCAATTATGAACTTATAAAGAAACTTGGTCGACAAGAACTAATTGTGTACAATATAAGGTAATGTAGAGGGGTCGCGGCGGTATAAATCAATGTTAGCCGGTGTGGTCCCAGTGATAGCGATTAAAATTAATGAAATGTTTATTTATTTTTTTATTTTTCTAAAATATTTTATTCTATAAATTATTTGAAATTTACATTAGTGTTAACATTAGTTGTAATTAATATACTTACAAATATATTTAAGTGCAATAAAGAATACTATTAGTAACCAATACCATTATAAATATTGACTTGAAAGTATATTTAAAAAAAAAAACTTTTTTTTTATTACTATAACCTCAGGACAATTCACATAGCGCCATCTAGACCCAAGTTAAGCTAGCTAAAGCTTGTGTTGTAGGCACTAAATAACGGATATAAATACATAGATATATTTTTTTCGTAAATACATAAAAAAACACCTGGACCGATATAAACAA